TAGCTTTGCGCGAAATTCAAAACAAACATATAGTAAACTTCAACCTACTAGTTAGTTTAATGTTGGTTTCAGTACCACTGTAGTCTCAGTTTACATATAGTAAACTTCAGTCTACTAGGTAATTTAAGGTTTGTTTTAGTTTCACTCTAGTATCAGTTTTAAATTAGTCCAAAACACTTCCATCTGCCTGTGATACAACCCCACAGTAATTCTGTTTCTATTTTAAAAAAACAAAAACAATCTTTCCAATGATGTTAAAATATTTTGTGATTTGAGAATTGAATTCTTATTTAAATTGTTTGGTAATTTTTTATTTCTTTTTTGATAGAACTCCAAAACTCCACGAAACAGCAAAGTACTAGATATGGTCAGCAATTTTCAGAAGATGCAAACATAATGTTTTACTTCAAAAGAGGTCATTAGATATGATTGTATTGTTGGTGATCATAATAAATTTTTGTTTTGTTTTATGCATCCTGAGAGAATATAATAGCAACAATCATTCCTTGGATGAAAATCAAAGAAAGGGTTAAAAATTATTGATATAAAATAACTTTTTCTAAAGAAAAACCCTATTCATGGAACCAATTTGTAGTGTAGCTACAGTGCCAGAAGACAACAAATGAAAAACTGAAAGCTAACATAATGAGTCTTTAATTTAAAAAAAAAAATAATATAACATGCTGAATGTATTTGAAAATGCAACACTTTCTTTAATTGTACTTTTTATTAACTTTGTGTTTTAGTACCCAGTAAACTTATAAAGTTAAATGGTGTGCATTTCTTTACAAATATTCCAGTTGTGGTTGATTTTGCTACAAAGGTTTCTGAGAAAGTACCATAAAAACTTAAATGAATTGTTTTTACTCCCAATTTAAAAAAAAAATACTTTAAAAGAATTGAGCACTTTAAAAAGTTATCCTTTTGTAAGGTGCAATGGAAAGTCTTTTGGATTGCTGCAATTGATCTGTGGTACTCAAGTATTACTCAACTAGTTATTACATTTGAAAGACACTGTAAAATTTTCATTGCTGTTAAATTATAGTTCTACTACTTCCATCAGTTGATTATTCTAATAGAAAGTTTTACTTTTGTTATTCATAATTTTACCAATAGCTTTTGTTAAATTGAATTTTCCACAAATTTCAAGGAGAAAATTTCCCAACAGCTAGTAAGAACATATATTGACCTTCAGATTCAGGTTATGACTTAATGTTTCAGGGGTATTATTAAAATAGATTATTGCTATTTTGTTTAGTAAATAAAACATTTATTTTGACTATTAGTATCAGCTTGTTGCTGACTGTCATGTAAATCAAGACAGCTGTGAGTAGTAATGGTGTACTATTAGTATCAGCTGACTGTCATTTACTTCAAGTGGAACATTTGTATAGTGACAGATTTGTTTAATTGGTTGTTTTCTTTGGCCTAGATAACAATAACAAATCTTTACAAGATGCTTTAGCTAGTGAGAGAAGTTTCTGCTTGATTTTGACCAGTACAGTTTAACATAAAGTAAATGATGGCCTGTTAACTTTGCTAGTAACTTTCTATTAGTTGTCTAATAGGTTTAGTTTAGCAACTAATTACTTTGATAAAAGGTTCATGTAAACTGTGGATTTTGAACCATAAATTTATCTGGTAATAAGTTTATACATAAATTTATATATATATATATATATATTAATCATTTGCCTTAACTAAGAATTTTGAATAAATAGATGTCATCTAGGACATACAAAAATAATTATTTTTTTGTTATAAAATGTATAATGGTACATGTGCCTTAATTTGATTATTTTATGAAGATCACCTAATAGTTGTGAATAGTTTTATCGTGTATTGTTATATTATTAATTAAATTTATCATATCCTTTCATTATATTCTACCTTTGGTGATTTGTAGTGTAAGATAATATTTCATTTGCTTTTGTAAAGACCTTAACAACAGTTATACCATAATTATGAGTAGTGCAATAGATTTACTTCCTTTCAACTGTAGGAAATTTGTTAAAAATTAGACCTTTTCTTATGAAGATGGTATCAGAATATTAATAAATAAAAGACTGACTAAATTAATTCAATGATTCTGAACTGTGACTTCATAATTTTTTTGACTGTATGAAAGTGATGGCAGTTTAGAATGATAGTATACTAGTTTATTGTAATTGATTGTTGGTTTTTAAGCATTTTAACTAAACATATTTTGTTTTTTATTTCCAAGATTCTGAATTACATTCATTCAATCACTGAATTTTTTGTCACCATTTATTAATAGCACTGTTGGATATCATATTTGTAAGATAAGCAAGGCATGAAGAAATTCAAATATGCATAATTTTGCATTTGTTACATTAGTATTTTATTATCAATGTAAACAACAGTGTAAGATGATTTATTTTATGATATAATAGTAGCATTATTACCTGTTGATATAAAAGGATTTGAGTTTAAGACAAAAGAACTTGAACAAGAAAAAGTGTCTGGTCGCAGTTTTGATTAATCTTTACAATGATGTATATTGACAAAACTATTATTTTGTGTGGCTAAGTAAAATTAATTACTGTGCCTGTTCTTTAAAACTGTAATTAAATATTGAAAATAAATAATTGGCAGTGTCTAGTTTGTCAAGTTATTCTATACTAGCTAACTTTAGTACTAAGACTAAGAGAAGGTATACCTTAGAAATAGAAGTTAGATACAGCTGAGTAATTTAATCAGTTAATCAACATAATATCTGAGAGCAGGGCCGGATTAAGGTTTAGTGGGGCCCTAGACCCAGGTAATAATCCGGAATAATATTTATAATAACTCACTCTTGCCTCTGTTCTGCTAGTTTTACGAACTTTTTTTTTTCACTTGGATGGACGGCGCGGTCCCCGTATAGCCCTGGCCCAGATGGTCTGTGTGTCAATACGGTACTGCCTGAGAGAAGCGATTATATTGACTATTGTTATATTAACTAATCGATTAGTCAAAATTATAATTAAAGCAATTAATAAAATCAGTTTTCATTATTCCAATAATCCATTGATCGAAATTCTGATTGTATCGACTGTCACGAAAATAATCAACTAATTGAAATTAATGTTTCCGACTATTATATATTTCAAGGCAACCTGTAACCAACTAAATTTTTTTCTTTTTGAACTGCAAACTGTTGTCTTTTTCTTTTCTGCTTATATGTTCCACGGCTTAAGGAACGTTGTACTAATTGAATATAATCGATCAATGGGGCCGTTGATTTATCGATTAGTAAGTACCACTAATTGCCCTGCTCTAGTCTAATATTATACACACAACATAAAAAATTACACTTATAGCAATAATAACATTAAAATAAATATCGGACACTCAACATAAAGTAGAGGAAGTATTGTGCATATGATAACAGTAATAGTTGAACGACTATACCTTACAATAAAGTAACAAAATAAATACATTCGATCTTCACGCATTTATTGATTAAAAAAAAATATACGATAATTAGTTAAAATGGTTTTTTATTGACAGCCATCTTAGTTTTTGCATTACAGTTGTCAAAAACTAAAAATTCAGCTTGGTAACGGCTCATCAAATTTGTGTTTTGTAGACATAATAATCAATTCAACAGTGCCCCATAATTTTTATTTTTGGCGCAAATGTGTCTAGTCTACAATGTACCTGACGCATTACAAAATGTTTTTTATGAAACGAAACCCTAAAAAGTAAAAATATCGTATCAAATTATTTACATTCGCTGCTATTATTATCCTTATTTTTTATGGCTCTGGATAAATATCATAACAGTGTTTTTATTGCTGTTCTTGTAGTTACCTTTTCTAGCTTGATCACATGTTATTTGATTTTGACAAATTTATAAGAACTTTAAATTTTAAATGTAATAAAATATTTGTTTGTAAAATAACTTCCCTCCTTATGAGTATTGCCATGTCCATGTAGTAGTGTACATGTTTCATCGTTTGGCAGATTCTTTTGGATTATGCAGTAAAATATAATGCAAAATCCAGTTCACTTATTGATAACGAATTAATTCATTTATTCAATAACGTTTCGTACGGGTTATAGGCTACGTTCACTGGTAGGCCTAACTTCGCAAGCAACGTTTCAACAGAAACTAATGTACACCTAACTTAATTGCAAAACGTTATTTGCTAAAATCTCTTCAACAGACACTAAAATGTAATTAGGGATATTCAGCAGGAATAATGGGTAGGTGTTACATACACGCAAAAATTCACATGAGCTATCGGTCTACAATTTTTACTACAGCTTCACCTAAAGAGTAAAACTGGACAGTTTTTGTCATTTAGGTTAAAGACAGCTGGTTTAGAGCAGCAAAAATATATGGTGAAAGAACGTACAGATACCCTATCCTACCAAAAGTGATGGGACAGGGTAGTTATGAATGAAATATGTCTTTATTCCAAGCATTTAATAGCGTGTTGGTCCGCCTTTGGCCTCAATGACTGTTTCATTGCGTCGTGGAAGATTGTCTAATAATTTCTGTTAGAAAACTGGTGGTTTGTGCTCCACTCCTCTTTTAAAGCATTAGTAAGCTCCACTAATGAAGAGGGCCGTCTTGGCCCTGCCCAAATTCTGCGTTCCTGTTCATCCCGAAGATGTTCTATAGGGTTGAGGTGGGGGCTCTTTGCTGGCCACTGCAATGTTTCGAACGTTTTCAAAAGAATCATACGGGTGGGCGGTTATTATTAATTGCCAATTTTAAAGCACAAATTAGTTAAATGTTATACAAATTTTCTTAATTGAAGAGCGTTTAGCATCACATGATATAAGCTTAAGCAATTAGTGTAAATAATGATGCTTGAAAACGTTGCACCGATTCTAGAATCAATGGCGTTACTATAGAGAAAGTTATTAACATTGTTTTAGAGAGGAAAAACTACCACCATATACTTTAAAGAATCTAGTTGGATCTGTAAAGTATACATCTGTTCTGAACAACAGGGTGCATTCCTAAAGCTAATGTTAGTTACTATCGAGTGTCACTTCCTTACTTGCTGTGGTTTGTTGGTGTGTTGACAAAAAGTCATGATAACTAATCAAAAACACCATAGGTGTGAAAAAAAAAGGCGCAACTAAAAAGCATTGAGCGTGCGACTTAAAGAGATTAAATCAAAATTGGTGGTCCAACTGGTAGCTACAATTATAGTATTTATAAGAATTTTACAGCCAATATTCATTCACTAGTTAGCTAGGCTGCGTATTTTGTTTTATCCACTATCATGCTCCAAGTTTAACAAAAAACGCAGCCTGGCTAACTGATGACCGAATATTTGCAGTAAAATTCTTATCATTGCTATAAGGCTCGACATGGCCAGGTGGTTAGGGTGCTCGACTCGCAATCTGAGGGTCGCGGGTTCGAATCCCTGTCCCACCAAACATGCTCGCCCTTTCAGCCGTGGGGGCGTTATAATGTGACGGTCAATCCCACTATTCGTTGGTAAAAGAGTAGCCCAAGAGTTGGCGGTGGGTGGTGATGACTAGCTGCCTTCCCTCTACTTTTACACTGCTAAATTAGGGACGGCTAGCGCAGATAGCCCTCGTGTAGCTTAACGCGAAATTCAAAAACAAACCAACCAGTGTTATAAGTGTGACTACGAGTTTGGCAGCCAATTTTGATTTCATTTCTTTATGTCACATGCTGAATCGTTGTTTTGGTTGCACCTTTTTTTCACATATATATATATATATGATGTTTTTGATTAAATATCATATATAAATTATACATACAAACAAGTGCATACAACAAGTTTAGGAAATGCATATTTTTTGAATGAAAATAGTTTGCATAGATGTACCATATTTTATTCATACTAGATGTATATTTCGTTGCACATTTAGACCAATTAGACCGACAAAGACAATAAT